TCGTGAAGAATTCATATTAACGATTGACCTACATATTATGTCAAATTCACTTACGTCATAATGAAAGATAAGGAAGCATTAAAAAAAAAAAATTATTATTCATTGACCAATTTATTCATAAGTAAAATTGGCACTGGTGACAATATCCCCCCCCCCCAACCCCACTAAAAAAAAACCAGGAAAAACAAACATTTCCTCTCCCAAACCAAATTGATCATCATAATATGTGTATCCAAGTCTTAAAAAGGAGATGACTTTCTAGTTGTTTTGTGGATGGGGTCAAGGGACCTCTATTTCCTCACGAGTTGTTTTTTTTGTTTTTGTTTTTTTATATTATTGACAGGTGGATCTATATGTGGGCCAAAAAGTTATCCTCTTTCATTCTCTTTTTGTTTTATTATTTACACCCTTCATCTTCTCTTGTCTTATTTTCATTTGTCCTGTCTGCCGAGGAAGGCTCAAAGACGTAACGTTCTCCTCTTAGCGTCCTATCCTTCCACTGAAGCTTCCACATACTTTGTTCAATTTCCCTCTCCCGCCACTTAAGTTTTGAGCTCCCACCCCTTATATTTATATATAAATGGCAGGCTAGTCCTAGGTTGATCATTGAAATTTTTCCACATCACAGGGGCACTCAAATTTCCGGGACCCTCCAAACCCCCCCCCCCCCCCCCCCCCCCCCCCCCCCCCCGCAGAGTCCTCCTAGACTTAATCATACTTAATGAGGGAAGAACTTCATTAATGCATCTAGTTATCTACTTATGATGGCACATATAATAATAATGATTAAACAATGGAAATTCAATTATCATAAATGCGATTGGATTATTTATTAGCTTCAAACTATTTACACATATATCAATTGATTGAATACATCAAAAATATTAAATACCGTCTATAATGAAAATAATCATATGGCTCCGTTATATGATATTCTGGAAAAATTGGAGAAAAAAAAAATCACAATAGCTAACTAATGTTCAAAATACATCTATTAAAAATCTAATTTCACATTTTTTAATTCCTTCTATTTTTTATTTTTGTAATACAATAAAAAAACTATGTTTTCTGTAAATGACTTAAAATTATTATCCATGATAAAAAAAAAAAAAATTGATACTAGCTAATTGCCTCAGGAATCTCTTATGAAATATAAAATGCAAACAATTGCACATTTATGGGAGTTGGGTTTGTTTAAAATATATTTTTTGTTTGCTTGGTTTTATTTCAAGACTTTTATCTTTTCAGTCAACAAATAACAAACAAAACAAAAATGAATCCACAAAATTAACAAAATTAATATTTTTAAAGAACATGGTGTTAAATAAATGAATCAATAAATAAATAAAGATTGCAGGTCCAAACAAAGAAAAAAAAAAATTATAAAAATAAAGGAATGAACCGAGTGAAAAAGCTGAACAACTGAACACAAAACAAAACATTTATCAACTTTACAGGACACAGAATTACTTTGTTCAAGAAACAAAAACAACTACATACACTTTGAAATGATCATGGTTTTTAGCTTCTTAACAAACAAACGGGTGTTTTACAATTTTTTTTTCCGTCATGGGCTAGGAAAATAAGAATGAAATTTTTTAAAGTTTAAGTCAATATGGAGGGGGGCTGGTTGCTTTGCGTGACTAAGTGAGCCAAATCAAGTTGCTCTAACCAGACGCTGGTTTTATTTTTAGAAAAGGGGGGGGGGGTGGGGGGTGGGAATAATTATAGCAATGTGTTGTATTTTTTGGGAGGAACAAAAATGAAGTCGATTATGATATCACGAAATAGACTGAAAACATCCAAGACATGAGACTAGTTTTAAGCCAAAAGGTTTTGGTTTATCTTGCCTTATAAAAGATTATTTTTAAAAATATAATGACTAACTCAGATGACCAATGTTAAGATTTAGAATGTCCATTGTTTTATACCTTTATCATGAGTTTTGAAGTGATGGACTAAAGATTCCATCAATCCCAAGAAAGATGAATTGAGATGGATCCCATTGGTCTAATTAAAGATGTATGAGCCCTTTGACCAAATAGAGCAGGCTACAAAATCTTAAAATAATAAACAAATAACATAACAACATGAATACAAAAAAATAATTTTTTTAGCTTCTTAAATAAGGTCAAAGTTAAATCTCTTCAACAAGCACATCTTATTACTACATCACTGTGATGTGTGGCTCACAGGGACTGTAATGTAAGATTTTATGGGCTGTTCAAGAAGCTACCAGCACTACAGGGCTTTGGTAGTTTAAGTAACTTTTTTAAAAAAATGTCCATGTGTATTTATTTATTTTTTTAAATAAAAAAACTTGGTGGTCCCCAATTTTGAGTCATTTGATTAAAAGTGACAAACAATTACATTGTAAATGAATGAACAGCTGCAAATTAAGTGGAAAAAAACCAATGGGGAGCATTAGACAAAATTCCTATTTTGCTGAAAGGTTTTAAAAACAATGCAAACCTTGAAACCNCCAAAAAAAAATTAAACAAAACATCATCTTAGGAATCTGTAATATAAAAAAAAAAGAAGAAAAAATCAACTCATCACACATGAAAATCACATTATCTTAGAAAACTGTGTTATTTTTAAAAAAAATTTTTTTTTGAACAAACTTGATATTGACCATCACTTTATAATTATCAGACTTCTGGCCTCCCCACTCACCAACTCTTAAAATAAAAAGTCGTAGAGGGGCGGCATTATGTTGTGAACAAATTCCAGCTTTTCCAGCTGTGTTTTGATAAAGTGCCTCTTGCTAGCACCAACTACTCAGTCTGTGGAATTAGTCTGGTCATTTAGTCTGTTCAAGTAAAATAAATGGAATGTGAGTTTTCTTCAGTAACGTCCAAATTAACTTGGTTGAAAGTCACCTCCATTAATTTCAATCATGGAGCTTGAATTAATTACTCAGGAGGGAAAAGCGACAAAGTTGCAAATTTTAACCCCTCCTACTATGAACGAGTTACATAAAGCCGATGAAAGTAATTGAGCGGGCAATGACTGTGCCTAATTGATAAAACTAGAAATTAAATTATTTGTGCCTTAAATTATGTAAAATGTATCTTAAAATTTTTTTTAATGAAGTTTTGATATAAAATGCTTAGGAATGCTGCCAAAAACAAGGGACGTTGCCAAATTAATGTCAATACTTTCAAAAATTCCCTTTCATTTTTATCGTTACTGGTGTGAATATACTCCGGGGTACAGTTCTCCGGGGCAGGGGTCGGGTACGCAGTTTTCACCTCTGGCTCTTGGACACTTAAATATTTTTCCAAAATGGTTTTATTTTGAAATGTAAATTAACTTTAAGTTTAATCAGACATCATGGCTGCTTCTGTGGTGTAACTTATGGCTGCTTCTGTGGTGGTAACGGCCAATGTCATCATTAGCAGCCTCTGCTAAAATTAATATAATAAACATAACTCTAACAAATTATATCTCATCTTTTTCTTTTTTTTTTTCATGATGCTCTTCAATCTTTTTTAAACAAGATAAAAAATTTAATTTTTTGCAAGTTGCCATGAAAAGGTTCCCAACCCCTGGTCTGGAGCTTTTCCAGGTCAAATAAGAAATTTTTTGTTAATGAATAGCTCTAGGACACACATTTGAACCAACATACCGGTACCTAAGATTGTAACAGAATGAAAGAAAAAAAATCTGCACAAAATATGTGGGAAAACAAGACTACTTAGCTCAGACTGTGACAAATAACACACAAAGAGTATTCAATTGAGACTAATTGCCGAAAATTGGGCTCCCATGGTGATGTGTCCTGGTACATACTGGGTAAACGGTGGTACAAAAAAAATGCCCAAACATTGCATGGAACTACAATATCTTTACAATTTTTTAACCTTGGTATGACATCAATGCAATTGCGTACAGATTGAAAAGGAACAAGAAGCTTACATTATAAATATCATGCAAACTGAAATCTTGATGAACAAAAACGCATTTTTTTGTTATTGAAGGACAACAAAGATGAATTCAGACAGCTCAGTAACAAAATTACACAGCAGCAAAAAAAAAAAATTCATCCTTGATGCTTTAAAAAATAATAGATAAAAATTTTTTGGAACATTTTAAGAAAAGTTTTAGAGAAAAAAACCTGGCCCTCTGCAACTGTCGTATCTTGCACAAAGGTCTTGATAAGCTGCTGGTCATGGGATATTCTCTCTCGAAAACAAGAAGAATGATGCACCTAATGTGTATACAATTCAAACAGCCAACTGATTTTTTGCTAATAACAAAGCATGCTTGGACTGAATGTATCTGCTTTTTGCAGATCAAAAGATCATCAGAAAAAATTGCAATCATCAATCATAGTATACCAGAGTGACCAATGAATTTGACAAAAAATTACCTTAATCCCCTGTACAAAATTCGGTGTTGTCAATGACATATGACCGACATGTATCCTTTGTTTATAGCTTTTTAAAAAAAAAACAACCACAGACCAACACAATGAACGATGTTTACTATGGTTACTACATTACCAGCTCCATCTGTTATCTCAACATCATCTATTTATAGCTACAGCTAATTTCAATGAGACGACCCTAAGCTACACCACAAACAGTTCAATATTTCTTAAAGCATATGTTATCTCTGCACACACATTTTAGATTTTGAAACCACTCAACAATAAGGAGATGAGTTACAAATGTTTACGTGCCATTAACTTTTGGAGGGGGAATCGATAATGTCATTACTTTTATCATTAAAACGTCTTTTACTTACCCTATATACCATCAGGTACAGAATCTCCAGAGAGCTGGAAACCGTGCTGAAAGCCTTATGGACATCTATTTGTACATGGGATGGGGGAGCCCTGGTTTAAGAGATACGGTTTTTAACTAACAACCATTACAGCCAGTTCCTTTAGCACTCAAAGCATGGGTCATTGAAACAAAAATTGAACCCATTATGAACAACGGCCTATCAGACAACACAAAGAAATCTCCTTAGGTCAGGTTTGAAATTCTCTTGAGACGAAAACACACATCATCATTGCCATTGCAGATTAGAGCCAAGTTTGTAGCTTTGTGGAATTGGAGAAAGGCAGACCTGTTTACCCTCAAACTCTTAAAATCGTACAATATCATGACTAAATCGCTCCATACATTATCTTAATAGTGAAAAAAATAAACATACAGTATATTTAATGTATACGCCTCAAAAATCGTACATTATACGCCAAAATCATAATAGTAAACAGGTCTGGAAAGGGGATCTGAAAAATCTCCCAATTTAAGAGGGGAAGAAAAAACAACACTGATTCTATAAAAAATATTTTTAAAAGCAAATACATGTGGAACTATTTCTATTTTATTATTTAAAAAAAAACAACTCTTTGTCTATTTGTTAATGTTAAGTATTGTGGAAAAATGAGAACCTCTATTAAATGATGTGAAACTATTGAGAAGGGGGGGGGGGGGGGGGGGGGGGGGTTGGGGGAAATTTTCTTTTGGAAAAAAACACATTTAATCACACCTAGCCAGAGTGGATAAAAAAACTTAACCATTGCCCCCAACTCCTAACTAAATCCATTATTTCAGCTCTTGTGGCTGGTGTCGGGTCTTTTGTAAAAATTAATCAGCGCTAAATAGGTTTCGGAAGAAAGTTAACAATGCTAATTAGTACATTTGAATTGAGTAGCATCTGAAACATTTTGATTTCATTAATTAACATCAATAATTGTATATATAATAAATCCATAATCTTATTCACAGCTCCCTGGCAAGTACAATCAAAATGAATGGACTTTTAACAAGAACATATAAAATTACAGATTGCAAGTTTTTTTTTTAAGAAAGAGAAACTACACATGCATATGCTTCTTCTAGACTGAGTAGTTAATAACCTTATAAAAACAACATTGTTTGTCCTGTGTTAATTAATGTCCAACATATCCATAGTTCTTTTCCAAAAAAAATGACACAACGAGAATAAAGCATTTTCTTTTTTTTTAAAAAAAAGATAGCAAGTCTTACATAGACCAAGAGTTAAACGAAGAACAGAACATCCCCCGAGTACAGCTAATGCAACAAAAAATGTAGGCCCCCAGTTGGATACAGAACAAAAAGGAAAGAAACTTGTCGAAGCAGGTCTTGAGAACAGAGCAGGGTTCCAAAAGTCCCCCAAAATGATCATCTAGAGGGGGACTTTTTCCTGCGCCAGGTCGATTTTTGTGGCATCGTCTGCAGCCTCTGGCGTCGAGACCACGTCGTCGCTAGAGTGAGCATCGCGGAAAGCCTCGTCTATTTCCCCTGAGGAGCGACTTCCAGTGACTTTGGCCTGTGAAATGTAAAGAGGAGATTGGCAATGATGAGAAACAGTGGCAACCAATGACGGAGACGGTTAATTTATCACAGCTGCCATTTCAAATAAGCTGCATGCAAATCTAGAGGGAAAAAAACAACCAAGATATTTTTCTATTAAAAGAACAGCTGCCGTCAGTGTCCCAAAAATGTCAGTACACCTCCAATAATGTGTCACAAAGTCCTGTCCCATGCCCCTATTTCGGCAGTCACAATACAGCGTGTTTCAAATAAATTTTATCTATCATCACTGTATTGCCTATTGAATGCAACACTGCCCACTGATGCTGTGGGAGTATTTGTTTTTTTAAAAACAGGTCTTTTATGAAACAGGTATTTTAAAAAAGTACATTGAAAAACTGAAATGTAGCATACCGATAATTAATGTAGCATACTTAATGTAGCATACTTATGGTTAGCATACTTAGTGTAGCACACTTATTGTAGCATACTTATTCAAGTTAAAGCATCTTTTTTTTCTCCGGGCATAAAATGTAAAAATCCAGATTGATCAAAAGCCAAGCCACAACTCCTCACAGTTAGTCAGGCTAGGTCACCTTATCTACTGCACTGCATGTCATGCCCAGCTCTCAGCGTATTAAGCATCTACATCAATGGTTCCCAACTTGTGCTCCGCTGAGGCCTATTCAGCTCATACTTCTTAGGGTCTTCGTTCCCTCTTCCGTGGAAACTCCTGACGCTATTAATTTATTAGGGTGGGTCTCGGATGCTTCCCTCATAGAAATTGACTCTAAAAAGCGGGCTCCATGAGTCAAAGTCTTTGGTGAACCACTGACCTACATCATATCCTACTGATTGATTAATACAAGGAGGCTTAACGCTGCTGGTCGTCACACTAATCTGTTTATGTTTCCCCAGTAATTTAACAAATGTGCTTGAGCTGACAACTTGATGGGACAAAAAAAACTTTGTCATCTGACAATTATTCTGACATAATCTGCAGGGCATTATTAATTCTTGCTTATTCCCTGCAGAATCTGAGATGTTTTATGTCTGATAACCAATCTGCCAAAAGGACAGCACAAAGACAAAACAATACAATGATGCTTAAACCCCGACTGATTCCACTGCAGCTTAAGTGACTAGACACAAATTGAATTCCAACTCAAGTCTTCTATTCTAAATTATAAATTAAACATAAAAATAAAGTTTAAAAAAAACAACAAAAACAGAAAACCGTTAACACTCTATTAAAAATGATGTGGGGGGAGGGGGGGGGGGTTGAGACAAAAAAAAACACACTAGCTAACAATAAAGAGACTTAAACTATTAAACCAAGATGAACACCAATTAATTGCTTTGGAAACAAAAAATAATAATAATTTTAAGTGAACAGTTTTGAAAAGGTGTTGAGAAGATTTTCAAAGGCGTGTGGATGCACATCATAAATACCCAGTGCCCTTAATTTTTTTGTTTACAAACACTTATTCCTAAAAATCTGTGTCTTAGTAATAACACACACTTATTGCTAAGAATCTCTGTATTTGTAAGACACACTTATTCCTAAGAATCTCTGTATTTGTAACACACACTTATTCCTAAAAATCTGGGTCTTAGTAACACACACTTATTCCTAAAAATCTGTGTCTTAGTAACACACATTTATTCCTAAGAATCTGTGTATTTGTAACACACACTTATTCCTAAAAATCTGTGTATTTGTAACACACACTTATTCCTAAAAATCTGTGTATTTGTAACACACACTTATTCCTAAAAATCTGTGTATTTGTAACACACACTTATTCCTAAAAATCTGGGTCTTTGTAACACAATCTTATTCCTAAAAATCTGTGTCTTTATAACGCACTTATATTCCTATTTCAGTGCAAAGGAAAACATTGAACACTCCCCAATGGGGAACTGAAAGAAAATGATCACTGAGCACACATCTGGTTAAATGCTAATTTGAAAAACAGACAAGGGGGACAACACCAAGAATTCAAACACTAGCCAAGGGAGTACAATCCTATTTAAGTAAGATGAGATCCGGTAAGCCGGGTAAGTATCTTGTGATAAATTAATAGATATTGATGGAGCTTTGTTATCCTTGCGTTCTGACAGTTGAAACTAACCATAGGTTCTTACAGTTTTAGAATCTTTGGCCATGAAAGTATGATGTTAACATTGGGTCCTGACAGAATGGTCCAAACTCTAGGTCCTGACACCATCATCAAAACAGACTCCTCCTAACCCTAGATCCTGTTTGAAGGGCATTAACCATGAGTCCTAACCCTAGATCCTGTTAGAAGGGCATTAACCATGAGTCCTAACCCTAAATCCTGTTAGAAGGGCATTAACCATGAGTCCTAACCCTAGATCCTGTTAGAAAGGCATTAACCATGAGTCCTAACCACGGGTCATAAAACTATGATCTTACCCTTGCTTAAGCTATTTTTCAAAAGTTTGACTTAATATAAAGTTATTCATCTCTATGAAATGTGGATCATAAATTTAAAAAAATTTTTAAAGAATATTTTATGATGAAATGATATGCAATAATCAATTTAATCAAACATAATGAGATGAGCAAAACAAAGTTCAGTCACAAATTAATATTTATTTAAGCTAATTCAAAATGGACGACCCCCTCCCCCAAACCAAACAAAAAAAAAAACAAAAAAAAACAAAAAAGACACACATAATTTTTTTTAAAAGCTCATCTGTAAATCAAACTAACCAGCTAAGCAGAAAGCAGGTGAAATAGATAACTGGTAAGAAAGATACACAAAACAAGACACAACGGCTACGCACTCACCAGTCTCTCTTTTAAGCCCTCGATGGAACGTGAGGACTAGTTCAAAAAGAAAGAGAAACATGATTGGGGCCAACACGATGCAGACGAAAATAGTTATGGTCATCAACAAAAACAAGACAAAAAAAAAAAAGAAAATGGGAACCAAAAAAAAAAAAAATTGTTTGCAATTCCTTCCAAACATATTTAGGTTTTGAAATAAAATCCCACGAGACATAAATGTGTCTGTAATTTTGTAAGGCTTGTTCTTCTTCTTCGAGATTATTAACATGGTCAGCAATAAAGACTACACAAATAAAACATTTAAAAAAAAATCAACAATTGAAACCAATGATTAACTTCTATCAGCTAAAACAAAATAAAGCAGGCGCAACACAGTTTTCGAACAACTTAAGTCAATCAACCAGATTAACAGAACATTCTAAGAGCTGGGAACCAGGAAGATCAACCATGGTTAAAATAAAAACATAAAAACCAATCAAAAGAGCTGAAAAGAGTAATGAAACAATCAGATGGGCTAAAACGAGTAATTCGCCGATCAGAAGGGTTAAAATAATCAACTGAAGAGCACCAATGAGAAATCACAACAATATGTCCACATAAAATGCACCAAACTAGGAATGACACAAGACGCAGTTCACTGGTTTGGACTCCTTTATTTGCAATATTCTAAAGTAAATTACAACAAGCAGACACTGACACTTGGCTGTGATAGTGGTTTCCAACCTCTGGGTTTTGGTCCTAATTTATGCAGAATTACTTATCTCAACATAATCGAGCATGACAGTTTTTACAAAGAAATAAAATTGCTAACAATAAACGATGCCCTCATTCTCCACGCACCCACAACTTTAAAATCAATCCTTTCAGTTCTTAAGGTGGTTCAAGCAGACCTTGACCTGTTTGTTTATAGGGAAAGGATGTGTAAACAAAAGAAGGAAAAAAAATGATGCCCTCATTCTCCACGCACCCAACTTTAAAATCAATTGTTTCAGTTCTTAAGGTGGTTCAAGCAGACCTTGACCTGTTTGTTTATAGGGAAAGGACGTGCAAACAAAAGAAGGAAAAAAAATGATGCCCTCATTCTCCAAGTACCCACAACTTTAAAATCAATCATTTCAGTTCTTAAGGTGGTTCAAGCATACCTTGACGTGTTTGTTTATAGGGAAAGGACGTGTAAACAAAATAAGAAAAAAAATGATGTTCTCATTTTCTAAGAATCCACAACTTTAAATTAATATCTCAGTTCTTAAGGAGTTCATGGATAACTTGGCATGTTCATGTAGGCATCAGGCACTTCTTCTGGCTCAAAGGGAATCAGTTTGGATCAGGAGTAGACCATTGCTGTAACGGATACCAATTTTTTGAATCAAACATATAGTGGAACCCCGCTATAACATGCCCCGCCATAACGCCAATTCGGATATAACGCGGTCGTAGCATGGCTCCCGAAATTTGAAATTCATTTACTCCATCAGGCCTAAGTTCTTTGAAAATTTTATCCATTGCTTGGAAAGCCCTTTTTTAAAGCGAAAAAAATCACAACTTTTCAAAATATCTTAGAAAATGAGCGCCTAAACGCACCACGTTCAAACTAGTATCAAAATTAATGCCGAAAACGAGGCTTTCTTCCGTTAGAACTATAAATAGTAATACGTAAGGGATTTCTGCTGTGCTAAGAACGAAAGTAAACAACCCCGCTTTTAATGTGATCCGATTTTATGGACACCGATCATCGCGTTATAGCGGGGTTCCACTGTACTTCAGTCACAGCTAATGTACGGACAATGGCTAGGTCATGTATAATGACCCGATTATCTAAAGCCTAACTCAAGTATTGAATTGATGGTTAAAATAGAGGACTGACGTTGGAACAGTAGTTGCGGCTAGTTCAGGGGTGGGCAAACTATGCAGCCCTTGAAGGCATTTAGAAATAACAAAAATTACTTTGTTTTAAGTTATTTTGTTGAATTTTACAGAATTCCATGTACCGTTATGATTGTTTTAACATTTTTTATCAAATTTCTTTCTAATTTTCCTTTTTTTTTTTAAACAGTCCTTGACCTTTGTCATGTAATGCTAAAATGCGAATTTACCGATTTTATTATAGAGAAATATTTATCGACATGTAAAAATTGGACATAAAATACATGCTGCCCCCCAATAGCTTTACATATGTCACTGTGGCCCTCTGCACAGAAAGTTTGCGCACCCCTGGGCTAGTTGATTAAAACTGCCCTCTTGAGCCATGCCATCAATTTTCATTGTCATACAAAATTCTCCAATTTAGGAAGTAGAAGAATCCACAAAGGCTAGGGAACTTTACCCAAAAATTAAGTCAGTTACCTAAGGAGCTGTAAGGGGCAGCCCCCAAGCAGTTTTTGCACAGGGCTAATACCCGGCCATGTAAAAACAATAAAAGTTACGAAAACCACAAAAAAAAAAATAAAACCCGGAGAATCAATATGGATGAAGACTACGAACCAATCAGAAATTGTATAGAATATATCAGGATCCCATGCTAGTAGCAGAAATAAAAAATAGGCAGGCTATGCTGGGATGGACACTTAGAAATAATGCCAAATGACAAAGGAGTGACGAGGGTGCACCACCAAAGCCCCAGAGGAAAATGGCTCAAAGGCAGGTCTAGGCTTGGATGGATGGATGATGTGGAAAAATCAAGATCTACAGCAGCTTGGAATCCAAGCTTTGGAAAGTAAAGCATCAGTTAGGTCTGAGTGGAAGGAAGTGGTGAGGCAGCCCAGAGCCCTACATGGGCTGTAGCACCGCAGGGATGGGATGATGGAAGAGATGCAAGTAAAAGCTAAGCTCAGGTGACCATAAACTGTTTCTGTTTTACAATAAATCAAAAGACGTTTAATCTCAAACCTAGAGCTGGATGATTAAAAAGAAGATCTCACCAGCATCAAACAAACATTCACAATGAGGAACAATGTTAAACTGAACCACTGACAAATCATCTTCATTTACTGAAAGTTAGCAGTTTCAAACAGACATTCACAATGAGGAACAATGTTAGACTGAACCACTGACAAATCATCTTCATTTACTGAAAGTTAGCAGTTTTAAAATAATTCAAAGTTTCCTAAAACTCGCTCTAATGATAGCAAAGAAACCTTCCTCAATAAAGTGTATTAGACATAATAATGTCTAAATAATTCAAAATATCCAAAACTCGCTCTGAGGATAGCAAAGATATCTTCCTCAATATAGCGTTCATGAGATACACTTCCAAAGAAGAAACCCTGAATGACATTAGACTATCTACTGAACTTAACATTGATAATACCCTGAGGTGGGCCTTAATCCTTAAATGGGCAAGAGCCCTGTTATAAACTTGGGAAAATTATCACATACATTTCATTTGGCTAAAATTCTTTAAAAATGTTAAAAAAAATTTCTCGAGTGTTTTAGAATCTTTGGGTATTTCTTTAATCTTTCCAAATTTAATACATTAGTGGAACTGATGTACATAATTTAAAATTATGCAGTTAAAAAATGTATCATCCTAAATACATTTTTTTTTTTTTTTAAAGAATAAAACAGTGGCTTTGAGAGTGGCTATTGACAGGTTTGTAAAAAGGAATGTAAAAAATCCCCAAAATGGTACATTTATTGGGAAAAAAACAATGTTGACAACGGGTTATGAGCTTAAGACATTGACGGTAATACATTAAAAAAAAACAGTCAATTTTTTTTATCAAAGACACGGATGAAATAATGCATTAAAGAGAAAAAAACTTCAAATTATTTGTTAAGCATTAAAAACTGCAGAAAATATATTCAATACACCTTGAATGTTTTGTTATAGAATGGTTGATTCTGCTAAAATGTATCCATCACACCTTGAAATGTTTTGACATAAATGGATGATTCTCCTAAAATACATCCAACACATCTTGAAATTTTTTGACATAAATGGATGATTCTCCTAACATATATACCCAACACACCTTGAAAAGTTTAACATAAAATGTTTGATTCCTCTAAAAATATATATATAAAATATAAAAATATATCCAATATAACTTGAAATGTTTTGACATAAAATGGTGAGTCTACTTCAAATTCAAGAGGTAAATAAATAATTTATTTCTACACAACTGAAAGACAACAACTTTAAGATGACGCTAAACCTTCCACCAAGTGAACAATCAACTGCATTAATTGTTGCACTACAATCAGACAGGTCATTCGTTGACTACAACAACACACCCCTCTCCCACCTTTTGGGGAGCACAACACTAAAAAAACGAACATCACCACGGAGACCAGAAGCAACTATAAAACAGGCCCCCATCACTTATCTCAGTTATCTAACAGCTGCGAATCCTCTGGCTGTCTTACCTTGACATTGGCGTAGGTCGTGTGCATCTTCTCATCAAAAGATTTAAAGGTCTGAGAATTCCTAAAAAAAATGAAGGGAAAAAAAAACTTTTTTTTAAACTTATGAATCAGTTCTTTTTTTTTAATTGCGAGTCGTTTTTTTGTCACTCCAGCGTTCGGCATGAGGCAATTGTATCAATAGAGTTAAAAAATATTATTTCACAATGAGAAAAAAAACAGATGGATTGATGATCCATACAAGTACAAGCAATAAAAATGATTTTTAGTCTAAGAGATCACTGTAAACATCTGCATTATTAAAAAGCTCAGAATAAAAATAACAGTTGCGTGATTTCATATCGGAAGGAATCCCTGGGTTTAAGAGTCCATAAAATATGCCTTTTTTAAGCGTTAAAATAGTAGCTAAAAGCTTAAATTCCAGGGTCACACATGTCTTGTAGACCTGGCATCATCGGTGGGAGCTTTGTTTTAAAAATAGTATAAGAGAAAAATTACTTTCTCTGCTGAATGGAAAATTGTAAGCATGCAAACAAAAGAAGTGGTATTCCTGTAACATATTTTTCCAAACAAAAAAAATGGCATACCTGTAATGTATTTTTCCAAGCAAAAAAAAAAATGGCATTCCTGTAATGTATTTTATTTTTTTTAAATATATCCACACTTTTACCTCTATGCTTCAGCAATTTTTGTTTAACAAATACCCCCCCCCCCACACACACACACACCATCTAAAAAAAGATGTGCTTTAAAAACAAATGACTTACTTAATATCACCCATCTTTCTAACCACGGCTTGGCCCATTGTATTGATGGCGCTGGATGTCTTTTCCGTGGCAGTCTTCACTACGGCCGAGGTCTTCTGGTATCTGAACAAATGAAGAGGAGGAAAAAAAAAATGTGTTTTATAACAGCCTGCGTATTGGGGAAAATCAACAGAGTTTTGTAATAAATAAAATGTGTTTCTTTGTTAAAGCAGAACAGGTTAAAAATGTCAATATCGGAATCAAAATGAAAGGGGGAATTTATTTACACAGGACAAACTACGCACTGCTCTTAACTTTAGAGCAGTGGTTCTCAACCTTCTTAAAGCGGCGACCCTTTCATACAGTTCCTCCTGTCGTGTTGAATTATTTTCATTGCTCCTTCATAAATATGTGTTGTCCGATGGTCTTAGGCGACCCCTGCTCAGGGGTGTAGGGGTCGTTGGACCCCCCCCCCCCAAAGGGCTCGCGGCCAACAGGTTGAGAACCGCTGCTTTAGAGCAACACAAGAACTGCGGAAAGGTTGCAGTTTGAGGGGCTTGTTATTGGTAGTTTATTTAGAGGTGTTTATCCACCGCATGTGGTGACAGGAAGAACAAGATGTGCGTTGTCGCAGTGCGCCATCAATGAAACAATTTCGAGGTGACTGAATGAGACTGAAGATGGGGCAATGTTGCCAACAACGCACAATACATATGAGGTGACAGGAAACTAGAGGGTCTCAAAGCTCACCCACTGGAACATTTACATGCTGATTCAGCACTTGTAAAATCACAAAAAGGGGCGTGCTTTTTCGTGACACTGACTTAAATGACAACAAGATGACTCCTCCTCCTCAGATGTTCACCAATAACATAGGCACCAAACGGCTTTTTTTTTTTTACAGATGACCTTTGGTTTAGACCAGGGGTTGTAACTTTTTTTTTTTAAGGACTTGAAGGGACTCTGGCATGTGAGCCAATAAATGGGATTTTACACACACACACATCCAATCTTTGCCTCTGACCCTCTTCTATAAAATGTGCAGAGATAACCATGAAAATTAAGAGGAAAAAAAGTGTTTCATTTGTCACCTGGCCAACAAAGGAAGAACAGAAAGTAAAACTTTTTTAGGTTGTAAATAACAAAAGGGGGAGAAAAAAAAAAGGGGGGGGGGGGGTGATTATATAGCAAAAAAATGATATGATAACTTTACAATTGGGAATGTGATAGAAATAATGAGGGGCGGAGCTGGTGATTATATCGCAAAAGAATGATATGATAACTTTACAATCATGCAAGCCACAAGTTTCTAAATCACTTTTGTTCAAAAGATATACATATATCAAAGAAAGATGGGAACATTATAAAATTATAGAATATATAAATATATCAATATCATTGCAGGATGGGAATATAATATAATTATAGAAGAGAGAAAAACAGATTTTTTTTTAACTGATCTTTATTCACACATTCTTTGATAAATGTGAGGTGGGGGGGGGGGCAGTTATCTCCTTGTGTGGGATAAAAAAAAATATTTCTCAAATTATCTTAACACATGATCGCAGCTTGAGCTTGAGGTGAAAGAATGCAAAGTTTACACTAACAATTGGAAGCCCAGCTCTGCTACAATGCATGGCCTGACAGAAAAAATATATTAAAAAAACAAATAATTTCAGTTCCCTTTTAAAAAGCATTGTAATAAAATTTTTTTAAAGCAACAACCAGTGCTTGGAATCTGTTCAATGAAAGCCCGGAGCGGGTCAAGATGCTCAGTGCAGCTGAATTTTTTTCAAGTCTATTAATGAAATTCAGTCACAACAACAACAAAGTAAGGACAACATAAAATAAACTCTTGACTGTTCAAACATAAAACAAAATTATAATGTCAGCTGCACATTTCCTACAAATATGACCAGATCATAAAGCTCATGCAAGTCTTACTGGCTCATTAAGCACATCAAAGCAGGATTTTTTATTCGCCTTATATCCAAGAAAGGAAGCATATTTAATGTTCCGAGTATTACGGAACAAAATACTGATACAAGTCTTACTGGCTCATTTAGCCAACTAGAGTGAGATTATTATTTTGCCTTATATTCCCTCCCCTACACCCCAATAAAAAACAACAACCAGCAAACAAAGAATATTCTAAATATTCTTTGTCCCATGTGATTACTCCAAGTTCTAAATTTATGCCCTCTGACTGCGATTAACTAGAATATTAAAACAGTGTGCCTTACATTCTGTAACAATTATCCATACAGCTAAACAGACACAAAAAAAAAAAAAAAATTGGTGATAGTGTACAGCTTACGCTACTACACGGGAATTACAAAATGATTTGAATACTTGTACATATAATATATAACAGATGCAGATGCAGTTAAAAGTGATAATAAAGAAAGTTATACATCCAATATCAAGCAACTAACTGAGATAATTGTATTTAAAACATGGTAATTTGTTCAAATAAATTTTGTCTGGTTGTCTGTTAAAAGTTGCATGCTCTTTTTTTACAGTGAGATTTCTACAACCGATTGATACTCTTTAATTATTTTATACAGAATGTCAGTGAAAATATTGAAAATAGATGACATAAGATATAAGTTTCAGTAACGAAACATTCAGAGCTTAGAGCTTAAGGGCTTGGATTGTTTCATTCGCAAATAACTTTTCAAATTTGAAAAAGCATCTTTTTATTGTCATGAATTACGGCCAGAATTTGTTTTAAATTCCATCATTTATGATTTCAATATTTAGTTAGTGGAAAATGCCCCACAAGCATGCATTGACAACACAGAGCAACTATAAGATCCAGTGGAGGAAAATTTGGCCTGACTTAAACAAAATCGATTCTGTCCTAAACAGTTTTCAATATCTAAAGCTTGTAACATATCTTGAAATTACATCCTGAGTGAGGACTAAATCTTATCTCATTTTCAATTTTATCAAAAATTAAATTTCATCTAGGGTGGGTAAGTTTAATTTTTGTTTTTTTTTAATGCATCACTGCCCTTGAATGGGATCAACCCGTTTAGTTCGCTACAATTTAAATATTTAAAAAAAAACAAAAAAACATCAAAACAGTCAAAATACTTAATTTTAAAATGGTTGAAAGGGAAATGTTCTAAAAATATTACATTAAAATTTGCACTCACTGTTCAGAGAGTCATTTTCATTCTGTAATTTAGAATGTTTATACTCCTGAAGTTTAAATTTGTATCACTGTCTAAATTTGAGACCTTAGTGAATATGAGACTATGGCTTAGTGGCTTGGCCTGCACCTCCTTACTCCATAACTCCTCCTTTTCCCATTACGTTTCCTTATCCCATTACTTCTCTTTACTCCACTACACCTCCTTAGCCCCATCTCCATTAAAATCCCTGAAAATATCAGAATGCTTTACTTTTGAATCATCTTATCATTTTTTTGGAAAGTGGCATTCAAGCTTAATAACAAAATAAAAATGTGTAGATCCAGTTGTAACAAAAATATAATGTATCAGAAATCATTTAACTGATACTCCCAGAGAGACACTGTAACATCACATGCAGGTCAAATAAAAGAAAAGGCCAAGTTTTCCTCTCAGGACGACAGAGAAGGACAGAACAGAAAAACTCACGCCTGCGTATGCGATATCTTTTCATTCAACTGATGTAATGTATCATTGGTCTTTTGGTATCTGAGAAAAAGGTTGCAATAGAAGCACTGTATACAAGTAACTGGCATTAGGTAGAGCCTGAGCAAGCCAAAGCTTTTTATTTTTTTTATTTTTTATTGCAGAATACTTATAAGCTTTGGTGCAAATGTCAAAAATTTTTTTTTTAAATATGCTAATAAAATAAAATCTGCATGCAGTTGTATGGGGCAGCTTTACAAATATTTTTCATCACATCCAATTTAGATGATTAAGAAATCTCCAAACTCTATTAAAAGACGTAACCTTTTAGCCAAAAGAGAATTAATATACATGTGATGAGACAGTAATAAGGTCGGCTTAGGAAAAGCAGATTTTGTAGTACACCCTTAAGCCATTAATGATGAAGAGCTTTCACCATAACTGATTTGCCTGTGCTTACTGGCTATAAAAAAAAAACAACTAAGGGGGAAAAAAAGAAACTGCACTACCTTGGTGAGTTCTAAGACAATAGTGATGTTTATTTAAGTGATACATCCTAAGACAAAATTAGCTTTTGCTTAGCATGAGTTCGTTAAGTGTCAAAACTAATAATCTTTATGGATAATAAAACAATTTTTTTTTCAAATAATCAATATTTAATCTTAACACACACACCCTCAGACCTTGTTATAATTTTTTTTTAATAATCTTATTACTCCAAGTCACTAATAAGAGTTGTAGATTTGGTTCTAAATACAAGGCCACCAAGTTTTAACAAAATAATAAATAAACAAAAAGAGACAACATGCAGACCCAAAACAAACATTTAATCCACTTTTTTTTTATCATAATTTTTTTTAAGGGTTCCTAACGGATAAGTAACGGGAAACGCAAAAAGCTTCGGAGATGATATAAACAACATGTTGTTAGCAGCACACCATCCAAATTCTTAATAAATGCTTGATATCAATTTTAGCTCTTCTCTACAACTATTGGCTAACTGTCTTTATAAACAAACTCAGTAAAAATGTTCAACATATAAATAACATCTGAACTTAATTAGTAAAAAAAATGCATCCAGGAAAATACAAGGTATCTGAAATGGATGATCCAAATTTTGACAAAGTGATTTGATATGTTTGTATGCATTTCTTAGTTTGAAACAGTAAATGTGGTGGAGTTACACTACTGCAATTTACCATCTCAAAGTATTTACACACTCTAATCAAAGCTAGTCTTCATACAGGACTCTCCAAAAAATATATATAAAAAACTTTTTTTTAAAAATATTTGAATAACTAAATTTAACCACATATAAATGATATCAAGTAACGAACTAAACCAGAGGCGCAGTGAATGTGTTTGGCGCCCTGGGACAAGATTCGCGCTCGGGGACAAGATTCATTTTAAAGCGCCCCCTTTTCTTTTTTTCAACTCTCAAACCCAATATTTTTACTAATAATATAATATAAAAGCACATTTTGGCGCCCCTAACTAGCTTGCGCCCGGGGACATCTGTCCCCCCCTGCCACCCCCTCGCTACGCCTCTGACCTAAACATTTTTACTGAGCAGAACAATAGACCTTGATATGTTTAATACTCTATTTTACAACAGAACTGAGACTAAAAAAAACTGTGTGTTAAAATCGCCATGTACAGATACCCTCGTTCGGTTATGAAGATGGGCCGCTTTCTATTTAAAAAAAAAAATGAAAATCACAACTCATTAGTAAGGCCTCAAGTACAAAAGATAAGGAAATAATAGGATGGCTGCTTAAAAGTTCTTTAAAAATCACAGTGTCAATGCTCCGGTAGCACTGCATAAAAAAAAAAAAGTAGCTTCTTAGCGCCCCAAAGAATGGAAGTTGTTAGAGTAGCACTACTATAAAACTAAGTTACTATGATAATTTTTGTTTAGAGGTGTTTGATGATTAAATTATTGATGTGTCAATTACAGCTCAAGTATGGTTAAGAATAGAGAATAACTTTTTAGCATAACGCACACTAAATGTTATCACGGTTTTCTGAGGTTGATGATTGCATTTTGACGCAAAAAAATATTTTTAGAACAAATGTCAATAAATTAGGAGGCCTGTCACCATGAATTGGGAAAAAATTGAATAGAAAGTGTCACCTACATAAACTATGTATAAGTTTAAATTTAATGGATTATTGAGATCAATTTGCTAACAATAGAATCAAATAATTTAAATTAGTAGATTTGAATTTTCTAAAGATTTAATGTTAATAATATGTTAAGAGAAAGTTTCCAAACCAGTTTTTCTTCACTAAAACAGTATAACTCACGAATCAGAGCTTTTAATCTGTTGAATCCCGGACTGCAGGTCTTGCTTAAATTCTTGAAATGGTGTAATCCCTAATTTTCTCTTAAGCTCTGTGGCATGTCGCACTTTACTGCCTAAAACTTGACGAAGCATGTTTATTTCAGATTCAACCTGCAAAGAGATACAGCAGTGACGTGATCATTTGCACTTTTAGGTCTTCTTTGACTGGATTCACTGTTCCTCTGATTTTGTTTTTGAACCAGTATTTTGTTACTATGATTAAAAACTGATTAAAATGTGATGCTCAGAATGTTAATGGACCTTCAGCAAGATGCAAATTGCTTTAGACTTTGAACGAAGTGTATTATTCACATATTTGTTTTCTTAAAGAGATTGACATTTTTGCAATACTCTTTAACAAGCCTAGGATAGTAGTAATAAAAATGATAACTTGTAAATCTTTGAGAAGCAATTGAAAAGCTTGCAATAACTAAATTAGTTGGATAATTATGTTATTTTTTTCTAACAGGAATGTTTTATCATAAAGCGAAACCTTGGCAAGTTCATCCTTGAGCTCATCCATTCGCCTCTCTCGTTCTTCGGGGGATTCATCTATAGGTGCGTCGTCATTGCCAGAAGCAGAATCACCAAGCTCGGTAGATGGTGAAGACGCTGTTTCATAGAAATTGTCACCTTAATTTGTTGGAATGGATAAAAATGAAGGCATTAAGTAAGAAAAACAGAGTTACTGTACTTATTACAGGGTGAAAACATGATGATAAAATTTTTTTAATTTGTACATAGAAAATTGAAATTTCAATAAAAATATCCTTGGCTCATAAAATACAAAACCTTGAATGTTATTTAAATACAAGATCTTTTGCCACAAAAATCAATCATGGAGCACTTACTTCAAATGCAACCCATCATCACAGTACTTTAACAAAATTTTGGGACCCAATAAATAAAAAAATCTATATCCTGAGACCATCATTATTTTGACTTGCTTCTCAAAATTTTACTTTGACTATTATATTTCCAAACCTAAATAATTGTGGTCACGTGGTCAATGTGCAGATGGGTGACAAAGTATTTCAGTAGAAAAAGAGGATATCAGAGTATGATGAGATAGGATATTTTTAATGATCCAAATAAATGTAAATTTTTTTTTTCATTCATCGTACATATTTTTTTTCAGTCCTGAAAATGTTTGTTTGAGCTTTTCATCGTTCCTTAAAATTAGTCTGTAGCAAGACATTTGGCATGTAATTGTGAGGTAAGAATAACTTTGATTTCTTGAGTGAGAATAGAGTCCTGGATCTTTGATTTAACGAAGTTCTAGTTTTTCCTCTCCAAGATCAGGGAGACTCCTTTTGTCTGTGGCCAATTTGTCTTTGAATGGTTGTTTTGATGTTGCTATCTGTTTACAAGGTGGAGTATCAATTTTTTTTCCAATATGGTGGATATGGATTTTTCTTGGGTTATGGCAACGATGTCCAAAAATCAGTCAAAGCAGATAAAACACATTCAACATGCTTTGATTCCAAAGAAAACTGTAAAAACCTCTAAACTATATGAAAGAAAAATATGCACAGATGAAATCGAGTCGCCTTTAAACACAACAGTAACAAAATCTTATTATTTACACATCCATCTTATATCAAACATAATAGATAGAGAATAAATGCTTTGCAAAAGTTAACTTTGCTTCCTTGGCTAGTTCAGTAAAAGTGCAAAAACTATGCTAAATTAACTCTTTCTCTCCGGAAATAATTTCCGTGTTCTGACGGAATTATCTATTTTGAATATTTGTTACGCACTATGTAATCTCTAAACCATCGTAACTTTTTTGTTTTTCATCAGAAAATGTTACGTTTGGTATGGATTTAAAGGGGAATGCATGCTCTTTTGAGACAATACAGACTTGGGTTTAAATTTTAATATATAAATGTGATTATGATTTAAGGAAAATAAAAAAAACTCACCATATGTTCACAAAATGCTAATTCCAAGTTACACAAAGAGAAATAAATATATAATCCAAAGTGTAACAAAAAATTATTTTTTTCTGAACTGTATCCATATGTGCATCATATATAATAAAAATCACATTAAAACAGGGGTCTCAAACTCAGATAATCCGGGGGCCGCAGGAGGTAGTGTCTGAGTGAGATCGGGCCGCATCAAGTATTCAACAAAAAAGCGATCACAAATTCAATAAAGTTACAACTTTTACAATCTGCTCAACTTTTATTAATAACAAATACAAACATTAAGGTTTCTCAAGAACTAGGCTTCACTTAACTTTCTTTCTCCTACTCCTTGTTGCTAGAGATCTGACAGAGCTTCTTCTTACACAGCTGAGCAATATTTGGCTTGAGTGAACAAGCTACCGAGACCCTCAGAATAGCTTGAGGATGCCCATCAGTACGTTTAGCCCTGAACTTTGACTTGTTAAAGTTTATAGTGGAAAAGAGCTTTTCACACAGATAGGTACTTCCAAAAAAAGGCACATGATCCATTGAACAAACTGGAAATCACCGGGAAGGTGGACGGCAATGCTCATATAAATTGACCATGCTTGGATGTTTTTCAATTAACTTCCCTGAACTTAGAGTTGCACTTAAGATCAGTCAGCTCCATTTGACGCGGGGAAAAAAAAATGGGGGGGGGGGCGCATCTTCCATATTAAAGGAGAAAGGGTGAGCAAAAATTTGAAAAGTGGCTATGTGTGTTTTGAAGTCAGAAAACATGTGATCAAATACTTCCTGTAGCTTTGCAATGGCATCAGTATACTTACTACTGAATGGCGTTCCCGAGAGCATGAGGCCTTTGCATGTTGGGAAATGGCATAGGTTTCTCTAAGAACCATAACGCAAGTTTTGTGCACAATGCACTGACATTGTCACCACAGGCAACACTGACATGCTGCCACTGGTCTTGTAGCTTCTTGTTGAGTACATTCAGCACCTATGTAATGTCAACAAGAAAAGCTAAGTCTATGAGCCATATCGGATCACTTAATACAGGAACAACCATCTCATCCTTCTCCACGAAGGCTTTGAAGGCTAAAATGTGTTCAAGCAGTAGGCAGGAGCAGGTAATATTTATGAATTATTGATGCCAAGGAAGACGCAATTTTATGGAGAGTGAATTTTTATTTTTTTATCGTAGAAAAGGCCATTTTGACAAACCCTATTTTGAAAGTGACTACGCTGACAGGTTTTGTATTGCCTTCACTCGTAAACACTAGATGCAATTTTAATAGGGATTCTTTGATACTGTGTCAGACTGCTAGGAATTACCCAAAAATTGACTTTTTAAACTTTTCTCTAAACCGCACTTTGGCCATGTTTGTCAAATAAAATGCTACACAATCAAAACTTTTAGTCCGATTATAAAACGAGTTTTACCATTATAATAAATGTCCAAATCTATACAAATATAATAAAAGTCAGAATTAGACCACTCGATGAGAATGGGCAAAATGCGCGGGCACTAAACTTTGCTGTCATATAGCGGGCCACAAAATATCGTCTTGCAGGCTGCAAATGGCCCGTGGGCCGCGAGTTTGAGACCCCTGCATTAAAAAGAAGAAAAAATTGAAACACCAAAGCACATCATCCATTGTCACCACCACACAAAAATGTCTGAAAAAATACATTTTCCACTGGAAACAATCTGTTGCTATTTGAAAATATTTGCACTGTATCCTTTTATGTACTAACATTTATTATGGTAAATAGAAAATTTAACATAAATTTGTAATATCTTTTCATCTGGGTTTAGCTATGGTAAGCCTGAAAGCAAACCATATGGATGTGCAGATTTGACTCACATCCAGCACAAACGTATTTCGGTACAGTTTGCCTAGTTCTATAGTGTTTGCACACTTTCCTTTTTGGAGTTTATTGGCACATGTGCTTTGATAAATTTTGTTGGAGTGTTGATTTTAATTCTGTAGGAAGCATACATATTTATTGAGAGTACAAGCTGGTAAATAATATGTGTGTCTAGCTGGGTAATAAAAAAAAAGAGTCAAGGTTATTTGACTTACTAGTCACGCTACAAGCTCAAAATTTAAGACTATATTTTTCAAAGGTAAAAATCTGAAATTGCACTCAGTTTTAGTGCTAAGATCAGGAGCTTTCCTTTTAGAATCTAGTATTTTAATAGGCACTGTGTTAGCTTTTCTAGAAGGCACTTTAGCTAGGGGCGGGGCTGGTTGTTCATCAGCTGATGAATTATAAATTTCATTAGTTCATCCTAGTAATACTAATGGTAGGATTATAATTATACGATTCATCAGAATCAGCCTCTGCATCTGAAATCATAAAATGACTGTCTGAATCATAATCAGAGTAATATTTTCAACCTTTATTAGATCGATCACCAGATCGGTCAGGTCAAGATTTCATGTTTGCAAACAAAAATAAAATGGACAATCAAAACAACCGCTTAAACACTTCGTTCTACCTAAAAACTCGTTGGAAAAAAGAAAAACCGGATGTTTATCAAAGGGAAATCATTCTAGATTTGATTTAAAGTAATTAAAAACCAATAGCTAAGAAAAGAACTGAAATAAACAGGTTTTTATACATCGCCGATCCCATTGTCTATCCACCCGAAACCTCATTTAAAATTGACAATTTCAGCATTGATTAGGAGAGAAAGAGTTAATAAAGCTATGCATGTTTTTAAGACTACACATTATAGTTTAATTTATTATGTCTTACTGTTGTGCAATTTTTTTTGCATTTAAATTTCCAAGTAATCAACCGTACAATCAAAATTGATCAATTTCCGTTTGCCAAAACATTTCCCTCTCCCTCAATCTTTATTGGTAATCTCAAATCTCAAAGCCCTTCTTTTGAGTATGAAGTCCATTAAACTCAATCATCAACATAGGCAAGAGGGGATGAGGTCTAATCAAATGTGAGATAGCCTGTGAAATACTGATACATTTTTTGGGTGGTAAATGTGCTGACTACCACACTTTTTTTCCTGGATAATTCAAATTGCCCAAAACAGTCTACACAAATATGGAAAAATGTTGCACTATAACTGTAGGGAAAAAGAAAACATTTTCAACATTTGAAAATTATGAGCCTTTCCTGTTCCTTATAAATATGCTGAGGGTGAAGTAGAAATTAAAACTTATCTTAAAGGACAGGGTTTCCCACCCTTTTCAGTGTATTGTGAGGCAACGCAGTGTGGAAAACCCTACTATAGCTTATGCTTTAGACTTAGGCAAGGTCCCAAGAAAAATCTGGGTTTTAATAACAAGAAAGTAAGAAAGCCTAATTTACCACATCAATCTAACTTAACTAACTAATCTAAGTTTTGATTTAGATGTATACAACCTGGTCGCAGTCACTGACTGGGTCTAATGTGACCCCTGTAACACTGTAATGTACTAATTAGATTGTGTTATTCTTGTTTTTCTTCTATATTATGTATTCCTAGTGCCTAGTTTAAATGATCAAAAAATGTCAATATCATAACCATAAGCAAGGCAAGGGCTTGTGTTGTTGAATAAAATTGTAAAAAAACATTGGTGCCTAATGTCCAGATTGAGCCAACTAGTTTACAATGTGTCTAAGTAACACATCAATACACTGTAGAGACAGGAAAAGTGTAGACTGAAAATGATCAAGCTATGCAGACCTCAGACAGGGCAGCATAATTCTGATCAGGGAGTGTTTAAGCAGGGTCCGGTTATTCCGGGTTAGTTAGGCTTGCATAAAAAGTGACAGTCAAAAATAATTCTTGTAATTTTGACCAAATGAATTTTCGCTTAGGAATATAGAACTAAACAAATAATTATGTAAACTAAATGTAATACCTTTATCGGTCCCGTAAAGAGCATCGTCAGTGGGAGTTGATGACATTTTATTAGTGGTAATTTGTAGGAAATATACTTCTTAGGACTTACAGCTGTGGCACAGATTGCGTACTACGTCATCAAAATGTACGGTGTTTACATCAGTCACACTTATTTGAGTCACAATAATTTAATTTTCGCCTTTAAACTCTTTCATGTCGTTTAAAAACGTTTTAGAGTTCAAACAAATGGCTATTTACTAACAGATTGACAAGAGAAAAAAAAATTGAAAACTTTTTTAAAGTTTAATAGCTTCCATAGTACATTTTCTATTATATGAAATCAAAGGGAAAATTTAATCGAAAACGCGTCGACAATAAAATTTTATGAAGACATCAAATTAGATGAAAAATTAACATTTTTACATTTTTAAATATCTAATAATTTAATGGTTATTTTTTTATTATTATTATTTCTGTGACCCTTTTCAAGTCTCATCTGTTGCGGTTGGGAATCTGGGAACCAAGAAGGAAGACAATCGATACCTTTATTTAAACTTACCGGATTTTCGGGATGCAAATTAAGGACAAAAAGGCTCACAGTAGTCACAGCAACCGGAACCATACCGCGGGTGGGGGGTGTTTTTGGACACCCCCCCCCCCCCACCTCTTCCGTAAAAGAAACTTTTAGCCCCCCCCCCCCCCCCCCCCCCCACAATTCTTACGTAAAAGAAGCTTTTAGCCCCCCATCCCCATATAAAAAACACCAAAGAAATCAAATCATTTAATAGATAATTGTGGCGTCACAGGAACACACACAAAATTGTGTCGTGGGTTTTATACCGCCGACAGTTTGGCCACCACAGTGGTCCCCATAATATGCGTCGCTCTGGGTGCCATGTTGCCCTCGGGCAGAGCCATGAGAATGGGGCAAAGAAGGTAGTTACAGCGGGCGCCAAAATCTTCTTTAGATAGGATCTTAATGGTGAATTAAAATATCAAATCCCATATACTTCGGAAATTACGAGCAAGGCCAAAAATCGTTGTTGTTTTTTTTTTTACCAATCCGCCCCGGGGGCATATTTTCTCTATATTAAGTGGCGCCATTTTCCGGCTTCACCCTAGGCGCGGCGTTTCATTACACAGCAAACTAACAACAGTAAAAATAGAATAAAATAAAATAGCGCTTAACTGAATCCTATAAGAAGGGGCAACAAAAGAATGGTGAAAACCTGAATTTGACATAAGTCCTGGAAATCATGGGCGCCCGCAGGTAGGGGCAAGGGGGGGGCACTTGCCCCTCCCCCCCCTGGATTGATTGGATAAAAAATGTATTAAAGTAAATAGAAAATAAAGAGAAAGTAACTAAGCTGATGTCCTGTCCGTTCGTTCACCATACAAATACGCTACAGTAAATTAAAACTATATTAAAACATTACTAAAAAAAATTTTGGCCCCCCCCCCCTGGAAAGTTAATCGATTTTTTGCCCCCCCCCTCCTAGAAAGTTTTCTGCGGGCGCCCATGCCGGGAATGGAAACATTATAGGAACCACTGAATTAGCCAATTGAATAGTCAGACGTGATTGGCAAGTCAGACGTGATTGGGTAGTCAGACGTGATTGGGTAGTCAGACGTGGTGGTGTGGTCAGACGTGATTGGATAGTCAGACGTGATTGGGTAATCAGACGTGATTGGGTAGTCAGACGTGATTGGGTAGTCAGACGTGATTGGCTAGTCAGACGTGATTGGGTAGTCAGACGTGATTGGGTAGTCAGACGTGGTGGTGTAGTCAGACGTGATTGGATAGTCAGACGTGATTGGCTTGTCAGACGTGATTGGATAGTCAGACGTGATTGGGTAGTCAGACGTGATTGGGTAGTCAAACGTGATTGGGTAGTCAGACGTGATTGGGTAGTCAGACGTGATTTGTTAATCAGACGTGGTGGTGTGGTCAGACGTGATTGGATAGTCAGACGTGATTGGCTACTCAGACGTGATTGGGTAGTCAGACGTGATTGGGTAGTCAGACGTGATTGGGTAGTCAGACGTGATTTGTTAGTCAGACGTGATTGGGTAGTCAGACGTGATTGGCTAGTCAGACGTGATTTGGTAATCAGTTGTGAATAGGTAGTCAGACATGATTGGATAGTCAGACGTGATTGGCTAGTCAGACGTGATTTGGTAGTCAGACGGGATTGGGTAGTCAGACGTGATTGGATAGTCAGACGTGATTTGGTA